GAAGAAAGCAGTTCTGGTGATTTGGTTGACGTTGTGTTCAAAGGAGAGGTTGCTGTCAAAGATGACTCCGAGGTTGCGTATCTGTGGGGAGGGAGACATTGTCTACGGGGCGCTATTGAGCCACTTTGTCACATCCATGCCCAAGATTTGGTGTTTCATGAGTTTCTGAGCATCTTTTGTTTCCATAAATATTAATAATAATTGGTCAGAAATATAAAGATAGGAAATAAACTCAATAAACAACCAATAAACATTTTATAGAACAAATGATCAATTGAGAAAATAAGCAATAATGAAAATTGTTAGTTTCTTGAGATTCTGTCTCTCTAGTAACACACACACACACACACACACACACAGGACTGTTGAATATTTCATTTGGGGGGAGGAGCAGCTCCTCACGCTTCAGTTGAGGCTGAAATATTTATCCGTCGATGGGGAAGAGGGAGGACGAGGAGGAGGAGGAGGCGGGAGGGTGGAAGAGGTGGGGCCAGAGGAGGTGTGATGCTGCTGTGCTGTTGCTAGGGGAACAGAGAGGGAGGAAGCTGTGTGTGTCTGTGTTGAGGGGGTCGGTGGGTGGCGTTGACACCGATCCTGCTGCTGCTGCTGTGTGTCGGCGTGAAGCTGCAGCAAAGACGAGGATGCGGCGATGATGCAGACGGCGAGGCCGCAGGGAGGGAGGTAAGAACGGGAGACAAAGAGGGAGAGAAGGAGGGATGGAGGTCGGAGGGTGGAGAGAGAGAGAGACGCTGCAGTGGAGACCGAGAGGGACGGAGAGATGGAGGTCTGTCTGTAACCTGATGCTGCAGAGTCGCCTTTCCTCTGATGACCTGAATACACGTCGATTGTTCAGACGCATAAAGCTTTATTTTATTTTTTATTCTTCACTCGTCCTGATAATCCTCCTTTTGTCTGTTCACTCTGTCCGGTTTTATTCTGGTTATCGACACACATGTAGAATTAATTTCTGTGGCAGATTTGTTCCCCTTAAAGAAGAATTTTTGGTTTTTATTTTGTTAAAAAAAGATGCTGCTTGTTGTAATTTGTCCAATTAGTCTTCAGTATCACAAGGGACAAATCCAACTCCGGTACTGGTACCGGTACAGTTACAGGACAAAAAACCCATCATGCAAAGGAAAACGAGAGGTTATCCACTACACTGTAAAACCTAATGAATAAATTTAACTCAGGCTGGTGAGGAAACTAATCACCTTAAACCATTTTATTTTTATTAACTCAAACAATTGAAGCATTAAAAAATATTTGATTTTAATAGAAAAAACTCAATATTTATTGTTAGAGTAACTTTGGGTAAATTCAGTTAAGTCACACTCATATGCAGCATTTTTCCAAACTTATTTGAAATGTGTTCACAGAATTTATCTGAATAAAGTCACTTAAATACATCTTAGTCATACAAATGTTACCACCAAGTTGAATTTAACGTTTTCATGTCGTAGCAGATGTAGGCGGAGCTATAATTAAGTATTTTAAAGGGACAGCGGAACCCAAAATCAAAAATCCTCCTACTTCTAGTGTTGTTTACCCCTACCTAGATGGTTTTGGTGTGAGTTGCTGAGTTTAAGAGATATTGGCCTTTGTTCAGATATAATTTCTAGAATTCATTGTTACAGCAGGACACAAAACTGTGAAAATCTCACACACAAACATCTGTATAAATCCTGCTTTTCTGTCCAATAACTTGCAGAGTCCCTCAGGGAAGCACCCTGGGTCCTCTGAACTTTCTGTAAATTCTTCAGATTTTCAAAAACTCAGCAGCAGGGTCTCTTTCCAGAACTCATGAGCCTGTTACTGAAGATAAGTCTTTGTTGTGAGCAGTTTCATGTA